GAACGATGTAACTTAGATATGCGTTTCTCGTTAATGTGGCCCAAACGACAATGCCAAAGGTACGCGAGATTCAAACTGTTAGGTTTGTTTCTCTTAACATCTACGTTATATATTGTGGTATCCATGTCAAGGACATAGAGACCGTTGGTCATTTTTGCACTTGCATAAAATATATCATTTCTAAAGACAGAAAGAGTTTTGTCTTTTACAACGAATGAAAATCCTGCTTTGTCAAGGCAGGATACAGAAATGATGTTTCTGCTCATACTAGGTACAAACAGACAATTATTCAAATGCAATATTAGACCACTAGGTAGAGATAAACTATAGGTTCCGACGGCCAATTCATAGACGAGTGCGCCATTGCCGACTTTTAGTTGTATCTCTCCCTCCGTCAATTGTCTACATTCATGCAAGTTCTGCATAGAAGTACAGATGTGAGAACCACATCCAGTATCCATCACCCAAGAGGTGATATCAGACATATTGACTTCGATAACGTAAATACCTGAGTTTTGGGGTTGACCCTGGTAAAGGTCTCTTAAGCATTGTATCATAGGACGCACTTTCATGTCCGCGTGGAGCCTTTGGAGCTCCGCGGTCATACTAGCCATAATGATACACTTTACATCTCGTGCGTCGTCCTCATACTTCTTGAAGGAAGTGAGTTCGGACGCACGAGCATTAGCATCAGGGGTCTTGGGAGGATCCGTTTCGAGGATGTAGAGTTTCCTCTCACAGTTAAGAACGATTCGGAGGTTCATCTCCTAGTCAAGAAAGTTGGTCCCGGATAACTTGTTATTTTCCAAGATGTAACGCAGGTTGAAAGGGTTGTTGTTGTTTGCCATCTACAGAAAATTTTGCAAACTAGGTTATCTATCATGTTTAATAATTAATTAGGCCTTTAATTAATTATCTCCCACTATTTTTAACAAATCAATAACCCACGATATTGATTCGGAGATTTCTGGTGAAACCTCTAGTGGGCCAAGATCCATATTTCATTATCTTGCGTTCCGCTTGGGGGTTACTCCACAAGACAACTATTTAGGTAGGAACATAGTTCCAACTGATGAGCCGGGCTCTCAGCTCTTGGTCTGGTGTTGGGCGAACAATATTACTACAACCGGACCAGGACACCTTTTCACCATACTTGTAATTGGCTGAGGCACATCTTACAAGCAGACTACTTTGGTTAGGAACAGAGTTCTAATTAAATCATAAAGATCCAACTCCTGGCTGGATGAGTGAGTAAAATCATCCGACTTGTCATTGATGACCCCAACTTACTGCCTCTGAGTCGTCCATCCATTTGACCGAGACTCAATTAAGTCTAACCCAACGTGCGACAGCGACCACGCTATGGCGGTTCCTGTAACCAGCTTAACATACACCGTATTATGCTCTGCTGAGGCTGAGTACATGACAGTGTACATTAGCCGGATAGGTGCCGGGCGTCAGAAGGCAACAGACTTAATATTCGTGAGGGATTTATAATTTCGATCTCACCTATCGACATGGCCGCGCACATGTCCATTACTAGAGTTCAACATACATTCAACAAGCATTCACAAAACGCAGTAAATAAACGTGTAATGATTGTGGCCCCTAAAAGAAAAATAAAACGATAGCTCCCACTGGCTTCCGGGCACTTGGACTTCGGGCTATCTCCATTCTTTTAGATTTCTTCAAATGGTCTTCAAATCTTTTCGTCTTCTAACCACCATGTGAGAAAAGAATCCTCGGTTGAGGTAAGAGAGAGAAATAGATTTACAACAAGAGTTTATGAGATAAGGCACGACACGCAGGCCGTATTATAATCAAATAAACTATAGCCACAATCATATACCATGCATATCATACATCCACACAAGCAATAGAGATATACATACACCGGGTGAACCGCGCTCACCCCAGACAGTTCTAGAAAAAATACTACGGCAGTAAATATTTTCTAAAACTCATAAAATTAAATTAGATGTCCAAATAAATCTAATAAAATTTTATAAAAAGCATTTTATGCATTCTGGATATTCTTCCAGCATAAAAAAATATCCAGAATATTCCAAAAGACCAAAATGCCCCTTTTGCAAAATTATATTCAAAAAGGCCATTAAAATTTTGAAACAATTTTGCAAAAATCATGAAAATTAAATTTCAACTTCCAGTAGTTATTATTAACATTTATAAACCTGGAAATAAAATTTCCAAAATTTATAAATCATTATTTCCAAAATATATTAGTTAAATC